CAATGTTGTGAAGAGAATGCTATAAACCCCCATTTTGCAGATGAGAAAATGAAGGCTCATGGTGGCTGATTTGCACTGGGTCACACAGCTTATTAGAGGTGGAACCAATTCTAAAGCCCAGGCTTTGGAGCTCAACTCACCATGCCTCTTCCATTGTACTGTACTTACCCTGGGCTTTACCATTTCTCCTAAGTGAGGAAAATGTCAAAGGCCGGATTTGAACTTCATGGTCATGCTCATTCATCAACCTGTTTTTGAGTAATTACTGTGTTGTTACTACAGTAAAAAAGACATTGTCTCTGCCTCAGGAAGTTTCAGTCAAGTGCAGGAGAGGGACATGGAAAATTAAACACAGTGTGATAACATGCTGTGTTAGAGAAAGGGAAACAGCTTGTTTCGGGAGCCCTAGCCCAGCCTGGGGTAGCAGGGAGGAGGTGACTTCTAAGTTGAGACTTGAAGGAGGGCAGAGAGTGAATTAAGGTAGGGAAGAGCGTGCTAGATGCTGAGCTACCTCTAAGAGAATGAGGTAATATAAAAATAATAATATAATAGATATAATTATTATTATTTATAGTACACGGATCTGCTGCTTACCACAGATTTTTTCCTCCTAGATCCCTTGGTTTCCTACCCTTTCCTGCTATCTGAATACAAACTCATCCACATGCCTCCTTTACCTCTAATTGAACACTTGGATGTAATTGGTTATGTATTAAGTTGGGGACTTGGAGTGACATTCAGGCTGGACTCATGTTGAGATTAATTTATTCCTGTAGTCTTCCTGTTTTGCGACGTATCTGAGTGCCCCACATGTATGTTAAAAATAAAGCGGAGAGTCGGGGCGATCTAATTAGACGGCTTAACCTAACGCTCTGGTGTTCGGGCTTCACCAAGTTCTCCTGCTTTGATGGTAACCAAAATAGATGAGTAAGTTAATCAAAGGTCTGATTAAATAGTAGAGCTCTGCAGCGTGGACCGATGATTGCCAAGCTTCAGTTCAGGCAAATTGTCAGGGGAGAGAGGAAACTGAGCTGAGCTCCAAAGGCCAGGGCTTTCAATGAGAAGAGTTTTATAAAGCTCACAGGAGGGAATTACTGACTGAGTCCTCAGATCTGAAGGCAATGGCTAGTCAGGAAGCTAACTCCAAAAGAAGGATAGTGTGACTTGGAGAAAGAACACAAATCTTCCGCCGGCAAGATTCTGGCTGTAATTTTGCATATTGCTTGCAGTGGGGGTGTAGATAAATCACTCTCCTTCCTGTGCATACTTGCCTGTCTTCCTCCCTCCCTCCCTTCCTTACTCTCTTCCTTCCTTCCATTCCAGATTCATAGTTTGCACCTATTATTATAAGTCATTAGGCTTTGATCTTCCATCTTTCATTTAATTTCTGTCCTTGTGTTAACAGCATGACTCTGCTTGTTGTGTTAAGTTTATTCTTCCAGGTTCTCTCTCACCCTTCTCTCCTCTTTGTTTCCTGTGAGACTGACACATGAAGGCTGGGTCCCTGATCTCACTTTCCCTCTGGCTTCCAACTGGGTTGGCCAGAGGGCACCCTACCAGGAGCTCAGTGAACAGGAAGAGAGTGATGTTGAGATGTTTTTCCATGTTCCCCTCCTGTAGGTCACCACAGGTAGGCTGTGCCCTCTCCTGAAGGTTGGCTCTCCTGCCAGGTAGGCTTACTTACGGCTATTCTTTTTCGACTCCAGCAAATGCTGGCCTTGACCCTTGTGGCCTTGAGGTGGTAATGGCCCTAAGTACTCTTCTCCTCCCCGCGTAACTACACAGCCCTTGATTCTGCATATACTGCCATTAAATAGTGCGTTTATTGCTACATTTTCCTTAGACTCTCCAGTAGAGTGTGCCATTTCCACCCACACCCTTTCTGGTAGGATGAAATAAACACTTAGAAGTAATGGCCTTTATAAATGGCAGAAACTCATTAAGCAATGATACTGGAACCTGGATTCAGGTGTATCTGACTCCAGAACCCAAGGTTTTTTGCTCCACTGTACCCCCGAGACCCTCACCTTCAATGTGACACAGTAAAAGAGGAATTGACACCTAAATGCTTGGAATAAGGGGGGGGAATCAGGAAGAAGGGTAGGAGTTTATGTTTACTGAGTGTATTTTGTGTACCAGACACTTGAGTTCATTAATCTCCTCTAATTTTTATATCAACTGGATGATGTAGGCATCACCTTCATTTTACAGGTAGAGAAACTTAGGCTTAGAAAGATCAAATGCCTTATGTGGAGCTGGAGCCCAGATTTGGACTCCTGTCTATTTTTCCTTCCTCCATGCCACCAAGGTACGAGGTGACAGGGACTACAGACATATAATTGGTGATTATGCTGCTCAAGACTGACACATGGTGAACAGTCCATCAGTTGGGTTTCCTGTTTTCAGGTCAAAAATGTACTCACGTAAGCAAAGGACCATTGCAAAATTGAGAATATGGAGTGGCTAAAACACTATTTTCTAATCAAATATGAAGATGAAAATATAATATGGAGTGGGGTTTGGGAGAAGGAATAGGGCACATGAGTTAACATGGGAGTCCTTCATAACTTTCTTAAGTCGGCTTCCTGTGCCCCTGTTTTCCCACCATCACCAGGTCATTATATGTTAAAAAAAATGTGGTTGCCTGGTTTTTCTTTACAGCAATAGTAGTAGCAGCTAATTTTTAAAACTTAGAAAGTACAGATCAAATATACATAGTATGTATATATACACATAAATGTATGTGTATACATATATACATACATGCATGCATACATACATACACACACATGAAGGCCTTGATCACACTTACCCTCTGACTTCCAGTTGAACTGGCCAGAAATTACCCTACCAAGAGCTCAGTGGGCAGGAGGAGAGTAATGCTGAGATATTTCAGATGGATGGATGGATGGACGGACGGACGGACGGACGGACAGACAGACAGGCAGACAGACAGACAGATAAATATAGATAGATAGATAGATTGATTCCCAGAGTAGTTTGATGTCTTACTTCTACTTTCTCTGCATCATTATGACTGTATGTGTTTTTATGTTGTTTGATTACACATAGTGGTTTTTAAACAAAAGCAATTTTAAAGCTTGCTTTTTTCTTTTAACACCATATGCATGTTTTAATCTACATTGTTTTAAGCCTTTACATAATATGCTCTCAGAAAAAAAAGTATCATATTTTAATTAATTGTTCCCTTCAAAGGCTTTTGGATGGTGTTCTTTCTCTGCTTTTATGACATGGTGATGAATATCTTTGAGAATAAGAGTTGGGCTTTTTTTTTTTTTTTTTTGCATTGGAGTCTCACTCGGTCGCCCAGACTGGAGTACAGTGGCCGCTCCTGGCCACTGCAACCTCGACCTGTTGGGCTCCAGCGATCCTTCAGCCTCAGCCTTCCGAGTAGCCAGAATTACAGGCATATGCTACCACGCCCGGCTGATTTTTTGATTTATTGTAGAGATGAGGTCTCGCTGCCCAGGTGGGTCTCGAACCCGCGGGCTCAGGCCATCCACTCACTCAGCCTCCCAAAGGCACAGGATTACAGGCTGAGCCACCGAGCCCGGCTGAGTTTGATTTTTTGTTTGTAAATTTGAGTTACGTTTTTAAGAACAATGTCCTCAAAATGGAATTATAGGGACAAAGGAGATGCATATTTTTTGGAATCCTGATAAACGGACCATATTTCCCATTAAAGGGTTCTATTATAAGTGTTCACCTCTTGAAAATAAGAAGTGTGCTTTGGCTTCCATGGAAACTCCCTACAGCAGCTAGGACAGAGCCTCTGCCCACGATCATCTTTTTAAATGACTGTGCACATTTGAAATCTTTATCATGCTGGTGTTATGTTTATTTTTTGCCTTGCCTTTGAATACCATGTGGTACTAAGGTGTGTGCCTTAGTGACGACTCTATCCACCAGTGGGCCATAGATTTTTCCATTATATACTGTGAGGATTATAGTGTTAGCACTCCATGGGTCATTCATTTCTGTCCTCCTATGTGTGTTTTCTCTCTTGCTATCAGGTAAAAAGTGTTTTCATAGATTATGACCTGGTCTTCCCTGTCGGGTTTATCTGAGAAGCAAGAGAAAGGAAGAAGGTGAAAGATTGCAAAACATAATACCCAGAATGTATAAACAGTGCCTACAAATCAATAAGCAAAAATGAAAATTGAAAAATGAGCAAAGGATATGAATTCAGAATTGACAGAAAGAAGAACTCAAGTGGTTAATGAGCATATGAACAGTTACCTGAACTCACACAAGTAATCAAAGTCCAGCCATCAAAAGGGTAAAATTTTAGTTAAATAGATAATATCATGTATTGGTGAGAAAATAAGAAAGTAGACACTCTTGTGCATTGCTGGAGGAATGTAAACTGGTATATCAGTTCTGGAATGCAAGGAAGTGCAGTTTAATAAAATAAAGTACAGCAAGTCCCCTACTTACAAAAAAAAAAACCAAAAACCAGACTGGACTACTAATCTATTCAATTGCAACTTAAAAATTAAAAACATAAGCTTTAACAATACCATTAACACTAACCTTTAATGACACAAATGGAATATGATTTAAAGAAATAAACTTATGTAGGAACAATTAGACAGTGATTGCAAAAAGTATATATAGTATGATTCGATTTTTGTAACTTTATGTCTTTTTTGGCATATCCTTATTTTCTCTAGTGGACCTATATAATTTTTGTAATAACAAAAATTATATTAAAAATCTCATCATGAGGTTTGCATGTAATAATTATTTCATGACTGTAACTTTTCCTCTCCCTTGATTCAGATACATTTTCTTCCAGGAAACTTCACGTGTCAAAATGTAAATTTCTTAAATCTCTTAAAAAATTCATTCACTTATTTGACAAATTTTTACTGGATACTTTTTATGTCGTAGACACCATTTATAATGTTTAAGCAAAGAATTAATGTAGTGATTTTTGTTTCCTTTCTCCACTACCTTCTCTGCCCTGTCCTGCTTAGTCTGAAGTTTCCTGGATTCCCAACAAGCATTACTCTGGGATTTACGGTCTGATGAAGCTTGTCCTGACCAAGACTCTTCCTGCCAACCTTGAGAGGGTCATCGTCCTTGACACAGATATCACCTTTGCCACCGATATTGCAGAGCTATGGGCTGTGTTCCATAAGTTCAAAGGTAATTGTAGTCCATTTTTTTCCAAGCATTTTTGTAGGTGCTGGTATGCCAAGAACAGTGATTGTATTCTTTTAAAAAAAAAGTGAAACTGTTTCTATTTATTTGGTAAATGAAGAAGGAAGGTCTATCTTCATAGGAATAACTTAATTTAGGATGTTTCGTAGAAGATAAATATCAAATGTGTGTATTTTTTATTTTTTGTGGGGTTTTTTGAGTTGGAGTCTCACTCTTTCACCCAGGCTGGAATGCAATGGCACACTCGTGGCCACCGCAGCCTCGACCTGCTGGGCTCAGGCAATCCTACCTCAGACTTTCAAGTAGCTGGAATTCAGGCATGCGCCATCATACCCAGCTAATTTTTCTTGGTTTATTATAGAGATGAGGTCTCGCCAAGTTGCCCAGGCTGGTCTTGAATTCATGGACTCAGGTAATCCTCTCACCTCGGTCTCCCAAAGTGCTGGAATCATGGTTGTGAGCCATGGCACCCTGCCTAAATGTGTGTATTTTACATGCATAGAATGGAGTGTTTACATACCTGTATGAAGATCTGCATTTATTCGTTGTTTTTTTTTTTATTAAGCAATCCTTTGATTGCCAAGAAAGCCTATGCGGTGGTGGGGATAGATACTGATTATAGAGTATTTGAAAATGTTCTTGCAGCTTTTGCCTTCGTTATTAACATTGTGGTTTATCATTTTAAGGACTTGTATATGTTTGGCTTTAGAAGACATTCTTTCTATCTGATGGGTTTCTTCATAGCTGTTATTGTAACTCTTATCAGTGCCTCATGGTATTTGAGAGTATCTGGTGGGAAATCGTGAGCCAATAGGTGCATTTAACTTTGGCGTGGGTGCATGAGAGAGAGAGAAGTGACAGGTTAGCACATACTGTGGTCTCTTATTTTAATACCCCTCTCCTAATTGCCTTTTTAAAAATTACATCATTTTTAGAATTCTCTATATTGTATACATAGAAGAGAAAAAAATTTGACCATGACATTTTTATTTTTCTCTTAAGTTTATGTATCTTTTTCTTTTCTCTATAGCATGTTGCCTTCTGTGTTTAAAATCCCTTCTGCCTCTTCTATTAGTTCTTTATCCTATGACAGTGAAACACTACTTAATGACTTTAAATCACAGCCTTTTCATAAGTCATGGGATATTCCTGTTGGCTTCTGTTTCCATTCATGGGCAGAGAGTAAATTCCTTTCCTGGTCTGGTCACTGTCTGCTTGCTTCTCAGTGCTTCTTAGTTCTGGACTAATTGAAGAAAGTCCTCAGCAAATCAAGGGGATGACATCATGAACCCTGGGACGCTTTCCCTTATCTGCATCAAAATTTACTTTTCTTATCCATGCCAATAGTGACACTAACAAAGACATCATTTAGCAAAGCTGTTGAAATGAGTGTGTCTCAGCTGTCTAATCTCTTCTTCATAGAAAGCTTGACTCTGTCCTTTTGTTTCATAATGAAGGAATCTGAAACCAGACATGCAGGGTTTTACCCAGAGTTGAGATCAAAGTGTGTATGCCTTGGCTTCCATCAGCTGCTCTTTTCAATTTCCCCTATCATTTCTGCTTGTCTTTCCTCTTTCTGATCACGTTGAACTTACTGGGGGCAGCTTTTCTATAATTACCTGTTTTTTAATTTATATATACTTTTTGTGCTGGTTCCCAGTGTTCAGTGATGTATTTATTACATCCCTACTGGGTGTCAGGCAACAAACCTGGCTTTGGAAATAAGGAAATAAATAATGAAGGAACAGTAAGAATTGTCACCTCTCCTAAAGGAGGTTAGAGAAGGTAGCTCGGAAGGTATCTCAGAGGAGGTGATAATTGTACTCTGGATTGTTGGGTAAGAGTAATGTTTGTGTGGTAGATGCCCATGTTTTGCTTTGGGAACAAAGGTCTTAGTACTCCAGCTTCTGGGAGGGCCCTCAGGTATTAGCCCTCCTTGGGGACAGCCTCAGTTGGAGAATCACCCTGACCATGGCCACATCTCTTCCTAGGGCATGCCACATCATGGAATGGCAGACCAGCATGTGATCCTTCAAGATCAACTGCAGCCCTTCCTGCTTTCTGTCCTTCCTTTCTTGGGTACTCTTACCAAGAGCTTTCCCTAACAAACCTCTTGCATGCTAACTTCCGACTCAGAGTCTGCTACTGGAGAAACTCACCCTGCCTTGGATAAATGTTACCCTTGGATAAGTGTTACCACCAAAGCCACCAAAACAGGTGGTCAGAAATTCTAGATCTATACCTAGGAAATCACATTTACTCTATCACAGCTAACATCGACCATATAGTGCTAGTGGGGCTGTGTAGCCAGTAACAACAACACTAATAATCATAGCGTAAAATACCCCGATATCATCCATGGAAGGGAAGTCACCAGAGCTCTTGCCGCTTCCATAACTGGCCCAAGGACCTGGAAGAGCTGAGATTCAAGGCAGTTCCTGGGGCTGAGCAAAGTCTATGGGCCAAGGTCAGGACAGGGACAGGGAAAATTTAAATGCGAGGAACTGAATTTAATGGGCTGCATTTTATTTGTTCATTCTTATATTGGTTTATTTCTAGCATTTATTAGCCCTCACTGTGCACAGAAATACATTAGATGCCTTTGTTACCTAAAGCTGTTGAGAACACAGCACCTGCCTTCAAGGAACTCACAAACACTGCAGACTGTGTAACATTTTCATCTATCACTAGCAAAGGAGTAAAAACATCAGAGGTTTTCCCATGCCCATCCTAATTTTTCTGGGAAGATACAGAGATGAAAAGAAAATAAGCAAGCTCATTTCTTCTCCATATGCCACTCTTTTATACAGTTTTGTTGTTGTTTTTAATTCCTTCTAAACTGTAAATATCAGAAGCCGAGTCATGGAACAGGGAGAAAGCCTCTTAGGACAGAGCCATGAATGTAGAATGTTCTGGCCCAAGAGGGACAGTTCCCCTCTCATAAAGTCAGTTGCAATTGACATCTTTCACTGTAAACACTTTGAGTGACACTGATGCAATGTGGCCTTGTTAATTTTTCTGTGTTTTAGGATAGCTAGTTGTCTAGGGCTGCAGTGGTTCTCATGTTCAGATCACATGTAGACTTGATTCCTTGATGGTGCTGTGAATTCTTCTGGTACCCGAATTCATTACATAGGGCATCTACAAAGAAGCCTTTTTAAAACCTAGACCCCTCCTCAGGCTTTATTCTTGGGAGCTCTTGCTGCCTCTTAGAGATGTCCATGCACTACCTGAGCCTTGACTTCACCTAAGTGGCAAATATGTCCCTCCCCACTTCAGCAGTGTGTACCCTTACCTGGTTTGTGCTAGCTGCTGGAAGATTTTCAGAACCACTAATTCTCAGCAGAAAGAATCAGACATACCATGAATGACAGGAGTTCAGAGTCATCCATTCAGTCATACTGACTGAGTTCCTAGGTGTCAAATAGTTCCTAACTGCTGGGAATATTCCAAGAATAAGATTGTTTTAAGGGCAGCCCCCTTGGATCCCCTCCTGCTGTGGGAGCTTTTCTGTCCTCTCGATAAATCCTGCTTTCAAAATAAAAAAAGTTTGTTTTGAGAACCTACAGCTTCATTGGGGTTCCAATACCCAAGTGGTTACCAACCCTGACCTAACAGGAAATACAGGCAAGCTGGACATGGATGTTTACAGTGTGCCTCTCAATGGATGCTTTTTTTTTTAACCTGGTGGATGGCCTACTGTCTAGTTAGACCAACTTGTAACCGGGAAGTGGGGGTTCCCTCACACAGGAAGCTCGTTTCTGCTGGCAGATGCTCTGTGGCTCTTGTCTGACCCATGTCTATGACCAGTGCTCTGGTGCTGGGAACCTACCTGTGTTCTCCCTGGCATCCTGGGAAAACCCAGCCTGGGGTAGCCCCTGTTTCTTTAGATGGAAGGCACAAACTCAGTATGCCAGAACAGTAGGACACAAATTCAAAGATTTTGTTTTACTTTCAGATCCTGGGCAGGAAGAGCAGTTCTCCACCCCCACTTATATGAGACAGTAATGAATAGTCAGGTGGGGGCGACAACAAGCAGTATATGTAAGTGAATGGGATAGAGTGTGGGTCACCTTAAGTTAGCAGGCAAATACACTTCCAGAAAGTGGCAGGAAAGTGGGGAGTCCAGTCTACCAGACTGGAGAAATGCCTCCAAATTCTTATCTCTAGCCATGGTTGGAGCCATCTGGGTGTGGTATACAACCAGAAACTGTCAAGGGGCACCGAACCTTGCTTCTGGTCTGAGAAAGTTAAACTTGTATTCAAAATGGATGCAGAGGCAGCAGCAAATCATAAGAATTTACTACAAGACCAAGCCCAGTCCCTATTGCTGTGAGTGTATATTTGAGTGGAGGGAGACCCGCCAATAAAAAAGTAAAACGCATAATGCATTAGATGGTGATTCGTGCTCTGTGTGTATTTCAGGGAGAAGTGGACAGCGTCTAGGCACAAGGAATAGCCAGGGTAAACTTTCTGAAGTGAATGTGGCCTTTTTGAGGAACAGGATAGAGGTCAGATCAAACAGAGTGACCCCAGGAGAGGACTGTGGGCTGCTGAGGTCAGATCACAGGGGCCTTGTTGGGAAGTGAGAAGACTTGCCTTTCCTTTCAGTAATTTGAAGAGTCATTGGTGGGCTTTGAGCAGAGGTGTGATTCAGTCTGTTTTATGTGGTTAATGGTGCACACTGACTGCCCTTCTGAGACTAGGAGGAGCAGGGAAACCATTTTGGAGATGATTGCAGTCATCCAGGTGAGAGATGATGTTGGCTTAGACTCAGGTGGAACAGTAAGGGTGGTAGAGGTCATCACATTAGGAGTACAGTTTGAAGGTCAAGTTGTCAGGATATCCATTGATTGGGGGAGAGGGGCAAGAGAGTGGGATCAAGGAGGACCCCAAGGTGTCTGTATGGGTGAGATGGCATTTGTGAGACACAGAAGACTGCACAAAGGATAGGTCTTGAGGCAGATCCAGAATTGAGGGTGAGG